TGTGTGTGCGTGCGTGCGTGCGTGTGTGTGTGTGTGTGTTTGTGTGTGTGCGTGCGTGTGTGTGTGCGTGCGTGCGTGCGTGTGTGTGCGTGTGCGTTTGGGGGGGAGGGCGGGGGCGCAGGCATGCGGGTGTGTTTGAGGGGGAGGCGTTGTCAAGACGATTGATTTCAAACGCCGGTCCATGCCTAGTGCGCGAGCCGCGGGTGCTCGTGCGCCAAGAGTGGCGATGAGCACCCGCGCCCGGCGAGCCACCATTCAGGGCCTCTGCTGCGAGCGGCCGCTGCTTGCGCCTGCGCGCTGCCCTCCCGGTCTCCCGAGGCCTCAGCACAAGCGCCTGGCCTCAGCACACCCACACGAGGCGACGGCTGCAGCGCGCGGCGCGGGCCCTCCCTACGAACACCACCACTGCTGCGCCCATCCCCTAGGCCGCGCCTCACACCCGACGGCCACCCCCAACCCCAGGGGGCCCAACCCCAGGCACGTCACGATGACGTCACCCACATCAGGCTCATGAACTCGCTCTTGGCCTCGTTGGCCGCCTTCTCCCGCGCGATGCTCAGCGCGCGCTGTGCCGCCTGCTGCTGCGCCGCCGCCAGCCCGCGCTCCGCCGCCACCCTGGCGCGCGCCTCAGTAAGCTCCTTGGCGTGCGCCGCGGCCGCCAGGCGCGCGTGTGCGTACATCTGCCTGCTCGTATTCCGATCGCGCCGCGTGCGCCCGCATCAGAAAGCCGAACGAGAGCGCGGAAAGGGGGCGTTTGCGTTGGCGGTTGGGGGTTGCCAGCTGCGGGGGCACCTGACCCTGGGCAGGAGGTCAAAGCTGCCGGCGTGAGATCCCAGTTCGGACACCCCGGCCGCGCCTCCTCCAGCGGCCCGGCGCCCCTCGTGTTGCCAACCCACCCAGCGCTGCCATCCGCCCGCCTTCGCCAGCCCCCAAGGTCGTGCAAGCCCCGCAGCCCCAGTCCAAAAAAGCGATCAAGCGTTGCCTCCCACCGCTACGCACCTCCGGTACCAATCAGACAGGTACGACATGAGCCCGCCCACCGCCCAGGCGACTGTGATGTGAACCACAGCATCCGGCGGCAGTATCCCCGCGCCGCCGCCAGCGCCCGCGCCTGCGCCCGCGCCATCCGCCGCGCCGCCCAGCATCCACTCCGCAGACAGCGCCCGCCACGGCAGCTCCCACGGCGCCCCGCCCGCGACGGCGCGCGCGGCGGCGGCGACCGCGGCGGCGGCGGCGGGGGAGCCGTGGCGGATGTGGGCGGCGATCATGGGGGCCGCCAGCAGGCCGGTGCCGACCCACCTGGCGCGGTGGTTACGCAATGGGCGGCAAAAGGAGAAACGTAAGGAGCCGGCCTCACAGGGTGCGCACTTCAGCTGCAAACAGACGCTGTACTGCGCTGCGCCCCGCTGCACCCCCCTTTGCACCTGCGCTGCACCCGCGTCCCGCCCCCCTACGC